GGTTTTAGAAATGTGCTTTTATTTAAATTATTTTAAAATTAGTTGATATGCAATAAATTTCCGATTTCAAACTATTCATTTATATTGTTTCATGCTTCCATCATTTAAAAAAAAATATTATTATGCCAATCAAACCACGGAATAAATAATGACGAAAATTTGTCCTAGTTACTTTACACTATGCACAATACATTTTCTCTTGCTACTGTTTCTGAAACAATATTATTAACTTTCTTAATTATTTTACATAATTCAAAAATGTAAAGAGGTAATTGTTTTTTTCTATGTTTTTTGTTATAATAAAAAATTCTTTGGTAATATTAAAATAAATATATGTAATAATATTGTTATAAATTAAAAATTTCATAAATTTAATAACTTAAAAGCTGCAACAATAATTTATTTGATAATAAATTAATTTATTAATTTTATTTTAGTTGCTCCTTTCAATAACATCTCTGGATGTAAATTATATCCTTGAATATCAAATACTTAATAATGAATATTACTAATTGTAAAAAAAGAGGGAATTTTCGTTTTATACAGCCAATTTAAAAGTATAATGAAGTAATTAAAAAAATTCACAGACGATACGAGAAACCATTAAAATCAACAAGCACAATGCGTTTGTATTCATTAACCCGGCTGAACTTGAGATCCAAACGCTCACAATGTTGTTTGTGCACGTAATATATCGGGCCGATTCGTGCTGCAACCATAACAATAATTTATTTTATTTCATCCCGAGTCTCGCTCTGTATTATGCTAATTTTGCGCATGGTGGCTCTCCTTTGTTTGGCCTTGATTGCGTCGGATTTGTGTGTCGCGTGCAAGAAAATAATCAGCATTTCCACGCAGATGAGTACGTATAAAATATTTGCATTGCCCCGAGAAAGAAAGACTCAATTTTATCTCGAGCAAAATAAATTTTATAAAAAAATTCAAGCGCCTTTTTGCAGACTTGCTTGCGGCGCGTGTGCTGTGAGACGTTTTATCTGCGATCTCGCTAATTGATTTTTATGCTCTGTGTCGGTCGGGATTTGGTTCGCAACGACTGCCCACACCTCATGCGGACAATTTCTTAATTATGGGCGTTTCTTGCAAAGCGGAATTAGCTCTCGGGACGCGTCGTCGTTTAAACGGAGAAAAATAAATTGCTTTAATTATTTTTAAATTTTTTAGCCGTACACGAAAGTATTTATTAACGTTTTTGATATTTTTAAATTAATGTAATTTTCATACAGATTTTTGTGCTGAAAATATTTACGCCCGAGTTGGCTTGAATTAATCAGAATGGACGTGCGTTTGTGTTTATCAAAGCGGTCGATTTCGTTGTTGGGATCAAAGCTGCGACTCAATTAACCGGCCAGTTGGAAAAATGATTGAAACAGGTCTGCCGGATTAAAAATAATGTGCGCAAAGGGGCAAGTAATTATTTATAGGTCACAAACAACGCCGTTCGCAGCTCCGGGGCGGAGAAATTTCTGCATCGGATGACTTATGGTGCCGAAACACGCTCTCTTATATACATCTGTTGTAACTCAATTATATGGAGAGAACAATATGAGATTCCGGTTTATTTGTTAATTTATCGGCCGACGAAGGAATAAATTTTGACATGAACACACAGCGAATTAAATCTAGAAATTATTATTTCGCACAAGAGAGAGATGCGAATGTTTAATTAGAGAGCTTTTTTAAATATTAATAAAGTTAAGAAGGGAACGATGACAATTTTTAATAATTTGATTCGGACAAATTTGGAAAAATTCACTTAATTATCTTTTTTTCTCATAAAAATCTTCACTTGATTAGAGCTTTAAAATTTACAAAAATTCAGCCCGCGAAACTATTAAATTGATTGGAAATCACACAAAAAATTGAGGGATAAAAAAAATATGTTATCAAGGAAAAAAATTTGTTTGTTTGATTTCATTGATTTGATAATCATTAAAATTTTACTTATTAGCATATTCAAAGTTTTTTTTAGTTTTATTTTACCTCATTTCAGAAAAAAACTTTAACTTTGAAAAGTTTTCGCTATTTTTAAATAACTTGGATACAATTTGAAGCTCATAGTAAAGTCATATGAATGAACCATTTTCTTGTTATTTTTTCAGGGAAATTGTTTCAGGCTTACATACTAATTTAAAATTAGGATTTAAGTTATTGAAAAATTTATTTTAACACCCTCCTTCCCTCAATTCAAAGGGGTAAACTTAGAGATGAAATAAACATTGCTCCTTTTTTGGTGGTCTTCCTCTGCAATTTTATGCTAATTTGTCAAAAATATTTGCAAAACATTGAAAATGATCGCTCGCATGCGTGAAGAAAATTAAATCTTTGTAAAATCGAAAGGCTCTCCGCGGAGTTTAAATAATTACGGCAATTTCGAACGCAAATTGCGTAATTACGCCACATCTATAATTATAATTGAACCGAGCGGACTGAAAACAAGATGTTATTTCAAACCTTAAATTGCTTGTCTTTTGCGCGCACGTGACGCGAACGCCGAAGTGACGCAACTCATTTCATATGTGCGAGGCGAAACACTCGAAGAATTCTCGCTGATCAAACACCGAATTTTTTTCCGAGAGGGAATCTCGCACGCGTTTTCACGCCAACTCTGAGACAAATCTCTCTCTCTCCGCGGCAGCCACCTACGTGCCTCGAAATCTCTCGCGTGGAGAGAGATGACTTCACATAAATTACTGTTTGTTCTCCGCGCAGTTTTATTATTTTCCTTAAGTGCTCGCGTGGATTTACAGCCGGCGGGAGGAAAAGTCAGAAAAATGATGAGTCTGTGCTCCGGCGGATCGATACCTCGCACTGGCTTTTCTCGGAAATGCAGTGACTTGTGGCAAGAGAAGATTCTCTGCTTTTCCACGTGGAGCGCAAGAGAGGCGTCGGCCCAAGTTTTCACATTAAAAAATTAATAACGAAATAACAATAGGGCGTACGTCTATAATTTTGCACTAACTGGCTGCCAATTTGCCCGAGTGGTTTATGGAAATATTTTTCCTCGGTTTCTAAACGAAATTTATTAAATTTATGGCCGTCAATACCACCCAGGCTGCTATTTAAATATTATTCAGCGTTAAGTAAGTTGATGTGAAAACGGGCATTAGTCAAAAGACGGACGCGCATACTCATGAAAGCACCCGTTTTTGCCTGCAGACAGGTGAGTGATGACCCAAGGAATTCAACTCGGCGTAATGAGATTTTCGCGGAAAGGCATAAAAAATAATACTGCTTACATTTTTCAATGAATTGCGCCTGAGAAAAAAATCATTTCTGGCTTTGGATCTGAACAGATCATTATGTCATTTCAATTAAAATTTGTGAGACTGAAAAATCCTCAAAATAAATATATTTTTTGAAATTTATTATATAATATTAATAATGTTTTTTAGACTTCATTAATTTTTAAACTATTTTGCTATATCCGTTTTCACTAAAACTTGACTTATTTGGAAAAAATTTAGCATAATTTTTATCTCAAAGTACCACCTGGATGATGTTAAAGAAAAGTAAACGGATTTATTTATATTGGCTTGAAAGGATTTTCCATGCCTGGTTGAGAATGATTGGATTTTGACGTTCCATTTGCTTGGACCAGTTCCAGCGCTTTGACTTTTTAGTTCAGAGCGAGCGCGACCACAATGATCGCAAGGCAACGGCGGGATTATATTGTAAATAAAGAATGAAGTCTCTCTCGGGGAGAGTTGGAGTTTAAAAGTCATCGCTCGCGCCTCGCGCTTGTTGGCGATGCGGTAATTAAAGAGGCCCGTGATTTATTCTGAGCACCAAAACACGCAAGAGCTTCTCCATCACGATGACAGAAGAATATTTAACGTTTCAGTTGCTTATAGTTAGTAAAGAGGGTACACAATTAAGAGTGAATTCTGTTTAAATTTTTTTAGGTTGATAATTAATTGTTCGTTAAACAGATAAATTAATTTTTGTTATAGTCAATTGAGATTTTTATTTATAAATTGCAATAGGCATTAAATTTAGTTTGGTTCTTCATATAGCATTATTTTAAATAAAATTTCTTTGTTTAAATAAAATATTTAAGACACAATAATGATAAATGAAAATGTTTGAAAGATGCGGAAATTGTTTTTGAAATTTCTTTAATTGTAAGTGGTTAGGAAAATCATTACACATGTCGTTCCCAACGAAAAAGTTAATTAGCATTGTGACATTTTAAACAAGGAAAGGTCACTTGCTCTTTCCCCTCTTGTTGCTTCAGAGCTTGAAAATGAATAGAATTTCTATATTAAACCTTCGTGACTAAACCAATATAAATTAACTCAAAACTTTAGTGTCAGTTTGAATACGAATTGGTGAAATAAAATCAATTTTGAAAGTTTAAGTATAGAAATTAATTCAGACATTTTCTCTATGCATAAAAAAATTGTTATTAAAATAATTTTTCAAACCTTTTAAAATGGTAAATCTAAAGAGAAATAGTTGTTTCTACCCATCAACTATTTAAATTTATACTTAATTTATTTTCAACTCTAATTTTTCATTTTTACAAAAATTATTTAAATTTTGATTGAAATTTTGTAATATTAATTATTTGTAGTTGAATGAGCTATCGAAATTCTCAGTTGTACGTTTGTTGCAGACAAAATTACTTGTATATGAATTGAGACCAACAGCCTATCTAGAATAATAATATAGCTGGGAAGCAAAAAGTTGATTAGTCTCGAGGCGAAACCCAATATTAAAAAGGTCTAATTAAGTCAAGGATTTCTCGTACAAAGAGTGAGCGACACCAGGAGCAAATATTTGAATGGTCGACAGAAGTCATTTCGGACACAAACCGTTTGTTATGATCAACTGTTAAAAGGGACGAGGGCCGGTTTGAAGCGGCGACTGCCCACGGGAGGAAAAGAAAGAAGGGGATCAGAGACGGCTTCGGCGGCAGGCGTGTCCCCTTCCTCCTTCAGTGCCCGCCGAGTCTCTTGGCCGCACACGTGCCTCCGTTGCTCCGGCGAGCGATGATGGCCTGCTTCGGCCCCCTTCTGCTGCCCCCGAGGCCGCCCCCGGCGCGCAACACCAACAACGCCTCCGCCCCCAACAATGCAGGCAACAACAATCGACTCGCTCGGCGAAGGAGCTCGAGCACCTGCAGACCTCCCCTGCCACCTGCCCTGCCCACCCTGTCCTCCACCTACCTGAGTTTCGACGACGAGGTCGAGTTCGAGGAAATCATCCCCAGGTCGCCGCCAGTCTCGTTCTACGACCCCGCCCCTCCCCGCAGCTTCTCCCTGCTGCACAGGTCGCACTCGGAGGGCAATTTGCGCAACCTGGGCACAGGTTTGCCGGTGCAACGGACCTTCAACAAGTGCATTCGCGCCCTCAGTGGCAGCTGGAAGAACTTGCTGCAAGGGCTGAACAAGCCCATCGAGCAGCCCAAGGGGTCACCGCTGCCCCCGCGTAGCCCTCCAAACCTAAACCTCAATAATCTGCTCAATTCACCTTCAGCCACCGGTAAGACATTGTTTAATTTCTTATTTAAAATAAAACTAAGGTTAAAATCAAGTATTTAAAATAAAAAATACTGATTTTGTAAAGTTCGCAAATTATTTTTTTTATTAAATTGAATTTTTTTATTTACATTCTATTTATTATTTAATTATTTATTAATTTCTATTTTAAACTTTCAATAGATTTTTGTCTGCCGTACAAACTTACTTGTTTTGAATATTATTAATAAATTAATAACGGAATTTGTAAGATTGTATATTATTGAATATCTAAGATTAATTGGTTAGTGAGCAACGAGCTTTAGGTTATCTCTTAAAATTAATAATTAAATTCTACATTCAATGGCTTTTACTTTACATGTAACGTTTGAGGAAAGAAACAAAATTTAAGTAAAATGATTCATGTTTCTCGAACGCATTTATTGCTCATGCAGCTTTTCATTGCGGCGTTAGTCAGTTGTTTACCCCCACACAACTGTATAATACAAACCGCTGAGTTATAAAACTGATCGCAAGAGATCAGATTATCAATCTGCTGCTCGATGTAAATATTTTCCCATCCCTCTCACCGACCACAAACCGAGGCATCGAATTTATTTCAAATACAAAAGTGCAATGGCATTTGAAAATCCATTGTCACTCACTCTCGTTTTCCCAATTGACCGTGGAGGTCGTTTATGATGACGCGATGGCCCTTTGCGATTAATTCAGCCGAGAGCAAACAGCTGTCGGCGTTTGATTTCACGAGCGCGTTGGATTTCGGCGGTCGTAAAATGAAGCAATTGTCACGAATTTGACGCGCATCTGCCAGCGAATCCACAGCTTTTATTTTTCGCGTGGGAAGTCGGTTTATTTATACACGTTGCCTCAAATTGAAAATGTGAAAACTCATGCCCGTTATACATAAGTGGAGAATCATTATAGATAGGGAGAGACAAACAAACACACAAACTTTCCACTCTATGAAAAAGTCATCTCTCGGGAAAAAGACCTTGAGAAGCCTTTCAAAAATTTGGGTCTACTTAATTATTCAATTCAATTTGATTCAGTTAAGTGACGAATGCCACAATGCCTGGTCGTAGGAAGAATTCAAGGAAGTTAAATCATTCAAATTTTTATGACGAGAATTTACATTCGTACGTGGGCGGCTCAGCAGAGTTATTGTGTGTGATGTACGTGGCGTGAATCACTCGTCGCATTTTCATGATCTCGCTGCCTTTTTAATTTAGCAAAGACGCTGCATCTTCAGTGACTTCATCTCTTTCGCTAACGACGAGACCGTGTTGTGTAATTTATAAGCCGTGGGGCTGCAGCTCAGCGCCGACGATTGCTTTTTATACACAATGGCCCCTGGTTATTTACTCAATCAATGAGAGGCAGACGATTTTGTATCACAACACAAACAGCGCCCAGTGCGAAATAAAAATCCAGTCTGGCTATCTATGGCAACGGCTTTTATAGCCATCATAAACATCGAATCGCTAAATCTAGAATAGGGGATACTGTTTGATAAGAAATGTGATCTACAGATTTTTTACTTAGAACTTTCTACATGTATTGTAATTTTAAACATATTTAAATAACTATTTATATTTAATAATATTCAGATGGTGTTTATATATAGTTAAAATGTTTTCATTCGTTTAATTTAATATTTTAAATTTTAATTTTTTTGTACTTTCCTTTTATTTTGTGACTTTTCGTATTGCAATCAGTATTTAAAATTGAACACTTGTACTATAAAATATATTTTATTACAAATTTATATAATAAATCTTCATAACCTACTCCATATAATTTTGTATCTGAACAAAACTTCCCTACTCCTTGTCAGCAAATCTTGTTGCGCTGCATAGTAATGTCACAAATATTGCATAAATAGAATACATCGGATTTAATGTTTGATTATAAGATCTAATTTTCAAACTAAATTTTTATTTTTCTTTCAAACAAATTCTTTCAGGGATGGCATTACTTAATTTTTCCTGGGAAGTTACAACTAAAATTTAGCCTAAAACGTTCAAGATACTGATCTACCAAAGTATTCCACAGATCAGTTAAAAACTTAGATTTTTCATTAAAAAATTAATTTAAATTTTTGATTATTCTTTACAAATCGAGTGAAAAATTGAAATAAAGAAAAAAGAATTGAGATCTATGCGCAGATTTGACGGTGCAGTGTCCCATTATACGCATATATTCTAATCATATCGAATTATGCCTTCCTGGACGGTTTGTGCTTTTGAATGCAAATGCAGAAAGGAGATGTTCTGGCCAATACAATGGCATTGGTCATCAATCAAAACGGGAGACGCACGCACGCACATCAATATATTTTATCCTTTGTTCCGCGTTCAGCAGATAGAGCTGCTGGATGTAAAATAAATTGGAGATGATGGAGAGTGGCTGGCGAGCGATTGCCTCTCTTTCTTTCCACACATAACAATACAAAACGAGTGACGTATCCACTCAACAAAATTGCTTTTGGAATAAAAATAAGACGGCCGGTCCATAAACGTAACGATCTGACGAGACCATTTCGGGAGAAAAACAATCGAGCTGATTACGATTTTATTTGATATTCTAGAGCGAGATGCAGACACGTGCAGAATTATTTGTCAGATTTGACGAGGTGGAAGAAAATAATCATTTAATTGATTCGTTTCTCGGCGGGCTGTCATGCGTGCAACTCTGGGCAGAAATTTGATATTAATTTGAAAGGCAAACAAACAGTTTCTTTTGCCCGGACTGACTGAAATTCGGCAGGCGGAGGAGTTGAAATTGGATGTTTGTGTTGGCGTGAGAAATTCATCCGCAAACACTCGACACGGTTGCGTAATTTAGTGGAAACTTGCTGGAGAGTTTTGACAACCAATATGGCGCCCCACTGATGAAACAAACAGTGCTAATGGGCTCTGATAAAAAATGGACCAAAAATTTTAATAATCCACTAAAAAATGCTCCATTTTCAGAGAAATAAATCAGGAATTCATAGTTCATGTGTTTTTGAAATTTGTGATCTTGGAATTTAGAGTAAATTTCTCTTTATTTAATAGATTTTAAATATTTCCAAAGAAAATTTAAAAAGAAATAAAAATATCTCATCTTAAGCTTAGTAGATGTTAAAAAATTGTGGAAAATTGTAAGTTCATGCAATTACTTGTGAAACATTACCAATTTTTCCAGCTAATTGAAGATAAATTTCGGATTATTTAAGGAATAGATTGAAACTGCACCATTTTTCAGCATTGCATTTTAATTTCTGATATTTTTATAAATTTTTCATTCTTGTTGCAACAATTTAACAATTATTCATGCTTTTTTATTTTATTTCAATATAAATAGAGATTTTAATTATGTCTTGACGAAAATAATTTTTGTCCAATTTATTTTCAATAATGGCACTTCAAAAGAGTCCCCCAAGACCTCCCTCATTCGCCTCCAGCTCTTCCAATTTGTCCCGCTCCATTTTGAGCGACGGACGAATGTGTCTTTTAAATCGACCCCGGGGCCACGATTTATCAGCTTGCGCGCGGAAGCGGTCTGTCTATTTTTTGCCCAAGCGCAGCTGCCCTCTCGCTCGGTGTTTTCACTCACTTATGCTCAATGTCTCGATCACGTCGTCATTGTCGCGGCCCGACACGTGTGACGTCATTGCGAGAGTAACAGGATGTTAATTCACCGAGCAGTACTGCTGCTGGCTCCGATCATAACATGGAAGCGGCTCAACCCTTCCTTCCCTTCGTTTTATCTCTCGGCCATTGGAACGAATGAGAAACACGGTCGGACCATGTGAGCCTTAATAAGTGACTGAAGGGACGGTCCTGCTCGTTACTATACAGACCGACTGCTGAGGCGCGCTCTTATTCTTTTTTTTATAATAAGCATGTGTTTTGTTCTGCTCGAAGCGAGAGGGAGGCAAAAAGTGCAGGCGTCTCAGCTCGTGAGAAACTGATTTGCGTCACAGGAGATTTGAATCTTCTCTTTGTGACTTTTCTCTCGTTGAGATTTTCGACTCGGGAAGTTACGAAAAAAAGCAGCATTCGTTACGCCGTCCTCACCATTCAGAGTTTTAAAGGGTTGAAAAAATTTGGGGTTTTGAAGAACAGTATTTGCGTCACAAAGAAAACTGGCAGGGTAAAAGTTTTGATTTGAAATATTTCTCAAATGAACACAAATCAAAAGACCATCATTTGTCAGCGAGCAGCGCGTTTGCTCATGAAATAGAGTCGCAGACCGTGACCGAAACTGGTAGAGCCATTTGTTTTTTGAATAAAAACAATTTTTTGCAACGCGGAAAAGCCCGATCTCTTCATTTCCACCATCACTTGTTTGGTATATATTTAAAGTTTTTGAAAATTGATATTGCAAAAATACTGATAATTGAATTTGAAATTAATATTTTTGCAGCGCACATAAATGATTTTTTTTATTGTGGAGCAACTCGTTTTTCTTGATATCTGATATCACAATGTTGCTAATTACATTTCTATATGTATTTAATTATTTATATTTTATAATATTATTTAAGTTATTTTATATTTACATCAACGTTTTCTATGTTTTCCTCATTATTCATGAAAATATTAAAATTTGAGTTATTGTGCAATTAATTTAAAAATTCACTGGAAGATGAGCTGATAAACAACAGGAGGTAATGACTAATATTGCTAATATAATGCAAAGAAGCTGATGGCTAAAGTTAAAGGCTACAATCTGGATAAAAAAAAAAGATTACATATATAAATGTTTAAATTTTAATTTGTAAATATATGATAAATATCATTTATGCCTATAAATTTTATATAAAATAAATAAACATGTTTAAAATGTGAAAAAATAAAAAATAAAATATATATTTTTTTTTATTGCTTATATTATTGTTTAAATTATATTTAGAGATTTATTAAATAGTTACAAAATTATATTAGTTCGATAATTGCTATGGGTTTATAAATTGAGAAAAATATAACGTTTCCGTATAAACAACCTTGAATTTCTCTC